TTTCAAAGCATTTTTTTAGAAAGCGAATTGTACTGTTTTATTGACAGTATTGTATACAATATTGACACACAATTTGTTAGACGAATATCACTATTAAAAAGGTAAAAAGGTCGTAGTCAGATATAGGTTTTCACAAATGTAATCGATTTTCATTCGACAGAAATAGTTTAAACAATTTTAAAGTATAAAGAAATTATTTTAATTAATTAAAATGAATATCAAAATTAAAACTTTATACTGACATAATTTTGTACATAATATTGACCCTCTTTAGACCGTATTACTGACACCAGTTTTTAAAGGAAAAATACTCCGAACCGGTAGTAAATTCTTAGTGTCAGAATTCGGACATTAGAAAGAAAATTCAAATTCGATTTTAATTAAATAAATACGAAAATAAAAATTTAAATATTTTAAAAATGACGTAATTTATAAAAATACGGATTTTTGACGTATTACTGACACATATGTCAGTAATAGAAGCATGGTCGAATTTTAGATGTTTCTAATACTGACAGAAATTATTTGTTAAAATTCTTATTTATTTAATGTTTTTACTCCGAATTTCTTATAAAATAAGATAAAAAATAATCAAAATATTTAATTTAATATAAATACACATATTTTTAACCCTCAAATAAGTCAAAAAGCAATAAAAACAAAATCGGAAAAATTAAGCAAAAAGTATAAGAAATTCTCCAATTCAACCCACCATTGCTATGTGTATGGAAACAAAACTGATTTATGTTCAATATTTTGGAGTTATTTCAAAACTAAGTAAAAGGAAGTATTGCGATAATTTGAATTAATCTAGAAATAAAAAAATATATATATGTTGTATAGAGAAAATCTCTTAATAATTATAAAAAACCTCATATATGTCAGTATTACCGCCACTGTCAGTATTAGCTACACTTACCTTATATAAATATATAAAGAATAATATTTACAAAAAAAAGGAGTTCAAAATTAAATTACAGTATATAATAGTTTTTTTTCTGTTTTGTTTGTTTTTTTTTTAAATATTAATTTTATATAATATATTTGTTTTTTTTTTTTATAATTATTTAATTAATTAATATATTATATACTATATAATTTCTTTTAAACTTAATTCCAAATTTTGTCTTTTTTTTTCTGCTTTTGTTTTGCAATTTTTTTTTCTGTTTTTTTTTTTATTTATTTATTATATAATTTAACCCTATTATTTTTTTTTACTAATTTAAATTTTCTTAGCTTTTATATTTCTAAATTATTTAATTATTTTTATTATTTTTATATTTATAATTTTATTTATTTGCTAAATTTTATATATAAATTATATATATGTATATATGTATATATATATATATATATTTATTCTGTTTTTTTTTTTTAAATAATTACGATTTTTTTTTTGTTTTTATAATTATATATAAGAATGCATGCTATTTTTACTGTATTGTGGGTTTTTTTTTATTTATATATAAATTAATTTCATTTTTCATTTTAAAATTAAATATAAGACTTTTTATACAAATATAATCACTATATAAAAATGATTTTATGATTTATTGATATTATATATAAGCATGCATATATATATAATATGTATATGAATGTATGTGTATTAATTATATATACAAATAGAATAATATTTATTATTATTTTTAATAAATATTCTATTTAATTTCACGTGTTGTGCATTTAAAAAAAAAATTTAATTTCAATAATTAATTTTAATTATAAAAAATCATAATAATTATATAGTGATTGAAAAGTGACTCACTGTTTTTAGAAGAGAAATGTTTTTAACATTGATATAACATACGTCATAAAAGTGTCATTTAAATTTAAATAAGTGGTAATTTTATAAAATTAATAATTTTTTGTATCAAAACATGAATTTTGTGTTTTTGATAATAGTATTTAGTAAATAGTATTTCAAAGTATTTAAAAAAAGTGATAAGAAAAACGGAATTGCTCCAAATATGAATTTGAAGTTTCTCTTTTCAACAAAATCAATAGGTTCACTGAAATTCAATTTTTGAACATTTTTTAAATTATTCGATTTAAATTTTTAAAATGTTGAAATTGTTTTTTCTGAAATGTTTCTGTTTTTGAAGTGTAATGTCAAAAAATCAATGAAAATTATATGGGATTATTATAATTCAAATATACAAGCTCAAAATAGTTTTAAATTTAAATAATATTTTTACTAAAAATGTAAGTATATGAATTTTATTATTTTCAATTGATATTAATAATTAAGATATGAATTATTATTCATTTAGAATTTAGAATTTTCAAATGTATTTCGAAATTTTTAAAATCTATGAATTTTTTTTTTTTGAAAATTTGAATTATTTTAAATTAAAATTTTAGAGATAACAATTCAAGATTGTATGTATATATTCGGTTTCTAGATGTATATTTAGTAAACTAGTTAATTGCAATGTAATTTTTTAAATTTCGAAAAATTCAATCTGTAATAATGATAGGAAAATGATACTTGTGTACCAATTATATTTTTAATAATTGTAAAATGGAAATCAAATGGAATTTTGAAAAAGTTAACTAAATCGAATAATAACTATAATATTTTGCAACACTACAATTCTAAAATATTTTTGACTAAATAATCAATGTTGTCAAAAACTACACTTAAAAAAACCGAATTACATGGAAAATGTTGTTGGAAAACCACAAAAAAGAGTGCGATTTGAAGGTTTTGTTGAATTACCACGTTCCCACTGGGAATAAACAAAGAAGAAAACTCGATCTCACATTAACATCGACTCGAATATGCATGTGAGATCTATAAAAATATAAAAAGTAAGCGAGAGCAGATTTAAAATATTCATTTGGTTTTATGTATATTGCAGCGTAATGCTTCCATTTACCAAATACATAATATATATACATATACATGCATGTATATTCAAAAAAGAATTAATTTTATTTTTGAATTAAAGTGAAATTTATTTTATTTAACTTATTTAATTAATTAACTTATAATAATTATATTATTATATTTTTTATACTTAAACAATTTTCCACAAAAAAAAAATATTGAATTCAGTTTTTTTTTTTGGAAACTGTTTATTTTCTTTTTTTTGCATATATATCACTTATTTACTTATAAATAAATAATTGAGAATTATTTTTAGTTATAATTTATTTTTTTTTTATTTATTTAATTTAATTTATTTGAGTTTTATTTTATAATTAATTAATTGTGTGAAACTATCTTTCCTTGTGCTTCTTTTTATATAATTTATTATATATCATTTTTTTTTTTATTTAGAATACCTATTTTCATTATTACTTCCATTTAATAATAGTATGTTTTGATTTACAAAAAATATTAAATTAAAAAATAAATAAATTTTAAAATTTTATTTTATTATTAACTAATTCTTTATAATCTGAGTATAAATTAGAGTTCTATAATAATAAAATTATAATTTACTTTTCTCTCATATTTTTTTGTGGAATTAATTAAAATTTTTAAAAAAATTTTGAAGAAATTTTTAATAATGAGCAAATAATGGGTGAATAATGATGAGTGAAAAAATAAATTTTGATTATTTATCGATTAAGGAAAATTTGCACTGGAATTTGTTTGTCTAGAAAATGAATTATGAAAAAAAAATTTTTATCTTTCCTTACATTTTTGGGAAAAAAGTTTATAATGGTTGAAAGAAAACTTGTTGAAAAATTTTAGTTAAAATTAATTTGTAGCACATTATGAGTGAAATATAGTCGAAATAGCAAAAATTAATGTGAGTGAAAATCAAAAAAAAACTGTTGATTTAATGTGAAATTTAATGATTTTTTAAAAATTTCAAAATTTATTAAACTTGACCGGGCACTACTCCATCTAAAACAATTTAAATCTATAAAATTTAAGAAATAGTCCGTTTAGGTTTTCGCCATTGGTGGAATGCAATTTTTTAATGTTGCGCCAAAGCTTCAAATTGGATTTTTTTATTACAGTTTGAGCTTAATTGCAAATATACAATTACTATATGATTTCTAAATTAAACCAAATTAACTATTATTTTCCATATCACTTTCAATATAAATGTATTTCTCCTGCGAATAAACAACCGATCGTCTACGCAAACTTAACATAGTAAAATAAAATGGAAAATTATGGATCATGAAAGGTAATCATTTATATACGACCAAAATTCTCTTTTAATTGCTAACTCAAGATTCTGAATCAAAATTTTTATCTAAAATATTTATGATATATAAAGATTCGGACCAGCCGATCTTGTATTATTTTAAATAATAATTAATTTTCAAAACCTGAATGAAATTTTATCGAACTACTAGAGTGACAAGTAGCTTATTAAAAACTTCGACGACATGATATTTTGTATGTGCCAGAAAAAATTTTTGTAAGATTAATAAATCTGAAAATTACAAAGACCCGCGTAATGCCGTCGGTTTTTTTTTTGTATTTTTGTATAACTCGAACGGTTGAGCAAACATAGTCTTGTGCATGTAATTTACACATAAATTTTGATATTAATTTCCATTTTTATATTCAAAAATATTTTTAATGAAATTCTGTACTTCAATGTAATTTGTAGTTAATAATTGATCATACATATAAATACATCAGATTTTGATTACTATTCCGCTATATACTCGTATATGTAGCTATAACGCTTTTGATTGGTCGAAATCCGACGGCAATATAGTTTATTCGATTATCAAGTGTTAGTTACTTCGATATTTTCTTTCAACAATATTCATCAACTTTCTCCAATTATTTAAAAGTAAAAAATTTATTTTTGCGTATGTGTTTTTTTAGTTATAATTTTAATGCATATTAATTTTTTGCAAAACAAAAGCATTTATTCATTTTTTTCAATTTAATTTCATTTGGGTAAAATATTAAATTCTGAAATTTAAATTAAATTTGATTATCGGAATATTTTTCTTTTAATAATATAATTTTCAACATTTTTTTTTAACACTAATTAATAAAATAATAATTAAAATACCTTACTATGTTCAGTATATACGCTTTCTATTCTAGTCTTAAATATTTTATCTATACATTAGAGTGTTGCAATATCCATAAGTCCACCAGTTGAGGACGATATATTGCTACTATTTCCAACATCATGTAAACCAACTAAACCAATTGTTGTTAAAGTACTGGAAGGTATTTGAATACCAGCATTTGCACCAGAAATATAACTGTGTTGCTGTTGATGATGTGGATGTTGCTGCTGTTGTTGCGATTGTTGTTGATGAGAATGATGTAAATGATGAATTGAATGAGGATGATGGTGCATTGATGGTGTAGGCGCTGGTGAAACTGGAGAATCTGTATGTCGAGTTATATAATGACTCGATATTAAATGATTATTCCCAGAATTAGTATTGCTATCATTGCTTCCGCTTGTCGCACTACCAGTATTTATATTTAAATTACTAAGAGTATGTGATGTGATCGATGGAGATACTGATGATGATGTTGTCGATTGCAAATTTGATTGTTGTGGAGGTGGAAGCACTTGATTTGATGGCGTTGATGATACTGAATTATGATGAATTGAGGGTTGTGTTGATGATGGACTACCATGATGAACTAAACCATATGTAGGTATTTCTCACATATGAGCTAATGGCGCCATTGCGCGCATCGATTGCGGATGCTGTTGTTGAATATCCGGCGAGACACTACTTTGATAATGCATTTGTAAACTTCTTTGATGTTCAGCAACTGCTGCAGCTTGCATACCATCCGGTATATGATACATATTTATCAAGTGATTTAAATCTGATGATCCACTTGTCTGTTGTACATATTCGCGTTTCATAATTAAATTATTATTTGTAATATTAGCTTGCTGCTGTGCAGCTGCTGAGGCATTATGTAATGGTCCTGGTGAAACAGGTTCTGATTTAACACTAGAATCACTTGGACTATGACTTTGGCAGGATAATTGTGAACCTGGTTGACCAGCGGAACCTCCACCGGATATACCGTAAGGAGAACTAGGTTGTTGTTGTATACTACTGTATGGTGAGCCAGGTTGTTGCAAACTGCCATACGGTGAAGTTTGACCACCAGACACACCTCCATACATACCATAACCAGCAGCACTAGCTGCGGCTGCGTTCATATATGAGTTAAGCGAACTTGGTTGATGCATTTGCCCCATATCGTAGCGATGATAATTTCCGGCCATATAGGCACTGTGTTGATTTTGATAGGCAGCGGCTGATGGATCGTGCATCATATAACCATTTGGCATATAACCATTTGGTGTCATTTGGTACATATCACGGTTAACAGCGGCTGCTTGTTGTGCTGCAGATAAGGACGATGATGAATTACGAATATTATTTGATTCAGGTGGTGGATTGCCTGATGGTAACATTGGACCAACACCTAATGGATATTTTTCCTTATTTTTAGTTAAAGTTTTCGTTTTACGTCTTGGTCTATATTTATAATCTGGATGCTCTTTCATATGTACAGCACGTAATCTTTTTGCTTCATCAATAAATGGTCGTTTTTCTGATTCAGATAAGTCTTTCCATTGTGCACCTAAACGTTTTGATATTTCAGAATTATGCATTTTTGGATTATCGGATGCCATTTTACGACGTTGACCACGTGACCACACCATAAATGCATTCATCGGACGTTTTACACGATCAATATTTTGATTTTTACTTGTTGAATTATTATTATTATTATTAACATTACCAACATTATTATTCATACTTGGATGATGATGATGATGATGTCCCGTCGGTGATGTCATATGATGATGAGCATTTGGATCACCACCATTATTACGTTGTGGTTGATTTGGGCTAAGTGAACTGTGATGATGTAAAGGTGATCCATGTGAATTATGTTGTTGATGTTGTTGTTGTTGCTGTTGTTGCTGTTGTTGTTGTTGCATACTATTTGATGATGGTCCATTACTAATTGTTGTTCCACCATTTGTTAATGAATTTCCTAATTGTGTTTGACCACCACCATTTTGACTTGATGTTATATGTGGTGACATATGATGATGATGTGATAATTGTGATTGTGATAATTGTGATTGACCTAAATTCATCATACCAAGTGGACCTAATGCACTATATGGTGATGTTGCATGGCCATGTAAAGCTGCCGAAGCATGATGTGGTGGCATTGTGGCATGCAGTATGCCACCTTTCATATCAGCTTCCATAGTCAACATTTCGCTTACCGTTGAAGTTGTATGATGTGGATGATGATGATGATGTATTGGATGATGATCCCTGTACCCAAACAGTTTGGTATAGTTTTTTTTTTATTAGTTTTACAATACAATGTTATTTTTATTAAGTTTTATTGAAAAATTTTTTTTTTGTTTGAAAAACAAGGATTATAAAGAGAAAGTGAAAATTTTGAATTTCCTTTTTTTTTTGTTTTTTTTTTTTTTGGCACTTACAAACTTTGAAACATTTTTTTATTTTTCATTTTGAAATTACTTTTATCATATAAATTTTTTTTTGTTTTTTTTTTTTTTCTCTTTAATTCAATATATTCGATAATTAATTCGATTTTATTTTACTAATTTTTTATTATAATCATTTGGAAAAATTTTTACTCTTCATTATTGCATATTCCTGGATTAGCTATACACAATTTTAAAATTTATTTTATTTTATTGCTTTTAATATTATCCAATTCCAAAAAGTATTGTTATTCTTTGTTTTTGTATCAATCCTTTTGTTATTTATTGAAATTTTTATTATGACAAATGTGATATTTAAGTTAAAATTGAATTTTTATTGAATATTCACTAATTTTATTGTGATTTTTAAAATCATTTGAGCATTTAAAATAATTATTATTATAATTATTAATATAATAATATTGTGTCACTTATAAAACACTACTGTATTTTTGATTATATTTATATGTGCATATTTTGTGATCTTTTATGTATATTTCATTAATTTATATTGTGTACCATAAATTTTGCATATTTAATTTTTATTTTTCACTTGGTATTTTTAATAATTAATTATATGCATATATAACTATGTATATTTATATTTTGTTTACATATATGTAATATATGCAAATATGTATGTATATAGAAACACTTAATTTAAAACATTTGGTTGTAATAATATTTGTATTTATTTTTTAATTTAATAAAAATCACTTTGTTATTTATTGTAATTCATTAAAAAATATAAATTTTTATATTGAATCTTTTGTTAATTTTAATTTTTTGTTTCACTCTTTAAAAAAAAAACTTACAAGACAATGGCAAATATTTTTTGTTTTCATACTAAATCCTTTAAGGAAAAAAAAACGAAAAACACAAATATGACGATTACAAACAATGTTGCGATTATTAAAGTTATATATAAAAAAAATTACAATAGTAGTAATAAAAATAATATTAATTTAGGTAGCAATAATTTATAAGATTATAGCAAATAACAAATATTATAAATTAGAAAAAAAAAATTCCCGAAATATAGTATTTCTTTATTTATTTTAGATTCTATTATTATTTTATTTTTATCTATTTAAAATTTCCTTCCTTAATATTTTTTATCTATATTTATTTAAGCCACAGGAAAATAAATAGAAATAAAATGAAACAATTATATACGTGTATATTTTATGTATATTAATACTTTTTTTTTTTATTTTTGTAAACTGAAATCTTTTATTTATTTATTTATTATTTTTTTATATTATTTATTTTATTGTGCTATTGAAACGGAGCGAACATTTAAAATACCTCCACACTGTACTGAATTAAGCACCTTTCTGTTTTCAATAAACGTTTTTGAAACCTGTTCGAGGTGCCTGAAAAAAATCACATATAAAAAATAAGCAAAATAATAATAACAAAAAAGTCGAAAAAAAGCAAACGAAAAAAAAAAAACAAGAAAAATAAAATAAGCGATTTTTTTTTTTTATATTTCAGAAATTTTTCTCTAAATTCTCTCTCTTCTTTTCTTTTCGTTTTGTTTTTATTTTTTTTTTTCATATTATACCTTTTTCATTTTCTTTACCTATTAGAAATGAACAGAAATAAGAATTAATATATAACCTTCTCTTTTTATCTTACGTCTATAAAATTTGATTTCAAAAAATTTTTTATATAAACATTGTATATACAAAGTATATTTGTATATGTATACTATGTATATATAGCAAATTTCTCAACAAAATCTCTAATGAATAACTGAAATGGAAGTATATATGTATATTTTACACATTTACAAATACATACTTTATATATATTTTCTCCAAAATGTTAAATAATATGATGATGCTTCCGAGACTACAAGAAATGAAAATCATTAAATATATTCACTCTATATAGTTTATAGCATACATTCACATATTCATGTGTAAAAATATTTTCTAAATTAATATGCAAAAGTATGTAAAAATGTAAATATGTATATGTACAATTGAACTAACGCACACTATTACCTTAACTGTAAACAGTTATATACTAGTCTATATATACGGCTACAGTATTAATATTAAAAAGTAAATACATACATACATATGCACGTATATAATTTTGATTTCTTGATTAATAGAATTGAGCACGTTTTCATAAATATAAATTTGACATACCTGTGTATTCATTAAATTACATACAACTATACATATTGGCATTCTTATACACATATACATATTAAAAAATTTTTTATACAAATGCAATTATAGTTTTGCTATAAGAAAACAAAAATTACAAAATATTTTGTCTCTCTCATTTGTTAACATTTTCAAATTAATTTCAATTTAATGAATAATAGAGTTTGATCGTTTTAACATACTTTTAAAGTTACCACACATAAACATTTGAATGGTATGATTATCTCAAAAATAATAACAACATTAAATATTATTAATATATCTAGAGACGTTTATATTTTGCATCATATATTAGAGTTACCATTTTGCAATCCATGTTAAAAGTGTACACGTATCGCTATAGTAATAATATGTTTCTTTGATTTGCTCTCATCTTAGAAAAAAAATAATAATTAAAAATCAAAATACGAAAACTCCGTATAAATTCGGTTATTTTCGGATAATGAGAACACATTTATATCAATGTGTGGGATATATGTGTATATTGCAATTTGTATTTAGCTGTATGTATATGTGTATGCGTATTTTAAAAAATATGTTTTGCAAATACATAAACGAATCCATTCCTTTCTCCAAACCATAATATTATTACTGTTGTAAGAAAGAGAAAATATGTGGTTTATTTAATTTTTCTGTTTTATTTGTGTTGTTTTTCTTTTAAATAAATAAACAAAATATCCACATGTATTTATACATATAGAGTAAAGTAACATTAATATAGTTTAATGACAGTCGCAATAAATGTTAAAACGAAGTAATAAAGAAAGAGTAAGATAGATATTGTACTTTTGTAGTAAGAGTATAAAATAGAGTATATTTTCAAAAATAATATTAAAAAATTACTGTAGTTAAAAAAGGACAAATATAATATTATATTTTTGCTAAAATTTTCAATTTATTGTTACTTGTTTTTCGTTTTTTTTTTTTTTTGTTACTAATAATTTTTTTTCCAGCCAATAATATTAAAAAGTAAGAGCAAAAAATTGTATTTTATGTTTTCTCTTTTTCTTGTTTTATGAGTTTTGTATGTAGTTGTATGTTATGTATGGAGTATGTTTTAAGCAAAATCTTATGAGTTTTATTGCTTATGTTTTTATTTTTGTTATTTCTTATCATCTTATCACTTTATACACAAAAAATGGGTGGAGTTAACGGAATTTTGTTAATTGATTTTGTTATATTTTTATACTCTTTTATATTGGACTTTGTTTTATCTTTTTTTTTTTTTCTTTTGGAGATTATTTATTAAATTCGAATTTCATCAAATTTTTTTTTTTTGGCAAGTACAGCAATAATGATTTTTGCTCCAAATAAATTCCAATATGAAGTTCAAGTAATAATGTATTCGTTGTATATCAGAAATATTACCAGAAATAACAAATGCAATGTTGCCAAATTTCAATTTCGAAAAATGAGTTTGCAGTAAGAATTAAGGGGTATTTAATAAATAAATATTATAAATATATGAACATTTATATTAAAAATTTTTTATTATTATATATAAGTAAAGTATAACAGTTTGCCTTAGCGTTTTTTGAAATAAATATGTATGTATATTTTATAGCAAATATATCCAGCTGATGGGAACAAAAATTTAAAAAGGAAACATAAAGGGGAGTTAAAATTAATAATTATATTTGTTATACACACACGCATATTATATACATGCTTATGTACGTACTATGTATTTTTAGTTTTTCTTTTTTTATTTATTTTTTCAACTTTTGTTTTATGGTTACTACTACCAGACGAGTGGTTGGTAAGTACTTAGTTACTTTCGAGTTTCGGAATTTTATGATTGTTTTTATTTTCTTGTTTTTTTTTTCCTTCTTTTTTGCACTTTGTTTGTTGTTTTGTCTGTGTACTCCGTTACATTACATTACGTACGTCGTATATGTTTTTCATTTCAGGTTTTTTTTGTTGTTTTTCTGTATTTATTTCGTATATTACATGGAAAAGATTCGTCTACATCAGTTTTGTTATTGTATTGCTGTAATACTGATTTTTAAAAATGAATATGTTATTTATATATAATATGAAATATATTCATGTACAAGCCTATATTATGTGTTATACGAATAGTGTATGCGTATACAAAAAAATAATATAGCGAATTGAATTTTTGAACTGTAAATTATGTATAAATATAAATATAGTATAACAGTATGTAGTTATATATATCAACAGATTTAATTTAAAATTCTTATTATTATATATGTTATATTGTATAAAATATTATTGAGTAATGTTATTTTAAAGGAATTGTAAATATTAAATCAATGAAAAATTTTCATTGTATATTTTCATGCATAGTTTAATTATTAATATTTAGTATTAATGTTACTGTAAACAAAAAATTTAGTTTTTTCTTTTCTTTTATACTTCAACTACAAATTCTTATATGTAGAACAATTATCCTTTTTAAATTTTTATGAATTTAAAGTAAAGAATTTTGAAAATTTTTGAATCACTCATTTCCTATTTTACATACATATAATATGAGCATATTATTTTAGGTATAGTTTACCTATATTTTGGAATTTCCTTAGACTACATGTGTCGGTATTATTTACATTTAATTTGAAAAGAATTATTTAACATACATAAATACCGTTACTATATACATATTTTTCTGATATTATATATAAATTTAAATAAAAGTTTTATAGCCTCAAGAAAAAGTTTAGAAAATTTGTTATAAAAAGATTTTTGAACCCTTGCTTGAGTATTTGCACTTAAATTTAAATTGCAAAGTGATGATTTTATTGGTATCAATAGGATCTTCTAACAGATCTAATTATTATTCCCCTGAAAGTATGCAATAACGGATATTTGTTCATAATTATGTCAACCAGAATTGTAAATTATTACCGGGTGTGTATTATTTTTTCCCACAAATTGATTAGGCTCGAATTTACTTATTGTACAACATTGTGCAAGCAATTCATTTTGGCAGAATTGTTCGTTGTTTTCTTGTTTAACTGTT